TTTTTTCACTGAGGAAGTTTAGCAAATTTCAAACTAATGAAAACACTGTCAATGGTTGAGTCAAAAAGATCTTTGATAAAATGACGGGCAGAGTTTTAATTAAAAGATTAGAAGTGTTAGAAATTATTCAAAACTCCTACATTAGAAGTGTTAGATTGCTTCCCAATTCACCCTAAATTTGTGGATCGATTGTTGAATGGTAACTGTTCCTTCAAAACAGAAGATTTTTTATTTTTTTTCTTTCTTCTATTTCTAATTGCAGCTACAAAAAAGTTTCCCCTGTTTTTTGCAAAAAATCTGGTTTTGATTACTGTCATCAGGATTAAAAATTTTCAATCCGTATCTCAGTCGTCAGTTAGAAATGAAGTTTTTCTTACACATTCCATGTGGCTTGGTGGGCCGGTTTTTATAGTTTTAATAAATGAATCTTATTTCAATAAATTAATATGATACCCAAACTTCACCCAAAGTAATTCAAAAAAACGTTCTTGAGAAAAAGAAAAAACTCTAATTGAGTATGGATCGCCTTTTTCTGATTTTTCACATCAGAACTGAGAAAAAATTTTGAAAATGAAATTTGCTTCGTAAACGCAACGTTAAACTTGGTTGAAAGTTTACTGTTTGTTAACATCAATTTTAGACAAAAATTGAGAATCCTTCAAATATCTCAGACAAAACTACTTGTAGATGAAGGCAAATCACTCGAGGTAGTTTTTGATGCAGAAAATTTTTCATGAACTATTCAGGTTCTGTACTGGCATTAAGAATTTTTTGAGCTTTGAGTCCGTATAAGTAATATTATGCTCAGTTAATTTGTCTCCCTCAATTTAAATTGGGTTGATTTAGTTATCTGGAAACTTCAGCCTAAATAACAATTTTGCATAACTTTTGAGCAGGATTGACTTATTCATGAGCGGCATAAAGTAGTCCAGTTTGCGGCCACAATGAATTTTTTGAACTAATGCAAATTAAAATTAGAAAATGTCAAGTAAAATAACATTTTATACTCGAGCCAACATCTTCGTTGAGGTTTAACAAAAGTTTAAAAACCTTTATTTACTTTGAAATTGGTCTGATTGAAAAAACAGTAGAAACATATACCAATTTGTGTATTTTTCACTTTCGTTAAACTTCGGAACAAACAAATTACCAATTAAAATGCAAATCTTAGTTATACCCGCACCGGAGTTCCATGGATAATAATCGATTATAATGGAAAAATGTTGTCTAAAATGTTGTCATTATAAACCACTAAGCTAAGGAGATAAGCTGGGAGGGGGGTTGGGTCAATAAACCGGGGTGGGGGGACTGGTAAACTGGGGAGGGTAAACGGTGGGAGGGAGAGTAAGGGGGTAAACTGGGGGGGGGGGGGGGGGTTGTGAATTAAAAAACAGGAAAACGAAGTGCTAGTTAAACTGCGATGAATTAAAAAAGTAGAGACAAAAAAAATATAAATTTTATTCTGAAATGTAACATTTTATGAAACGTAAAACGTAGCAACTGCACTAAACAGGAAATGAGATAATTTTGAAAAAAATCAAAATTTCATGAATAACCCCTCGAAAAAATTCATCATAATCGATTATAAATGGATTATTTTGCTTCGAAAACAAGTTTCATTTTCTTTCAAAAATAATCGATTATATTCGATTAAAATCGATTATTTTCGGATTTTATTGATTAGAAAAATAAATTCATCATAATCCATTTTTAATCGATTATAATGAATTATTATCGAAATTTATTGAGACAGACCACGAAAATTCAATATAATCGATTATTAACCATGGAACTCCGGTGCGGGTAAAGAAACATCCCAGCATAACATTCAATAAACAAATTAGAGGAAAATTTTGTTTGTTTCAGCATCCGTTTTGTTTGTCTTTCAAAATTCAATCAATTTTTTAGCATTGGCTAAACTCTCGAGCGGCAAAACTTTGTCAAGTCGGTTTGCGGCTAATTTGGTTTTTATCGAACTGATCGAAATTGATTTTGAAAATTGTCAAGTAAAACATCGTTTTACGCATAAGCTTTGTAAATCAACATTTTTCTTCATTGGGGTTTAACAAAAGTCTGAAAACGATTGTTTCTTTTGAAATTGGTCTGATTGAAAAAGTATCACAGACCTATATAATCATGTTATTTCTCCCTTTCATTAAACTTGGGAACAGAAAAAATACCAAACGGATGGGAAAACCAGTTACATAGTAAAATCCCAGCATACAAATCAATTAATTGAGTTGGGCTTAAATTAGAAAAAAAAACTGTTGTTTGTTTCCAGAATCAGTTTGGTTGTTTTCTTTTCGATTTTTCAGCATAAACAAAAGTTCAACGGTTTTTTCCTGCTAAAGCGCGTTTGTCTCATAGCGAAGAACCACTTCTCGCGTCCTATGTATAATGCCAGGCAACTAAGGAAGAGCTAAGTCTCATTTTTTATCATTGTCTTATGGCATTGGCACTCGGGTAAAATAAATTGGTTTCTGAAGCTGCTATATAGTCATCTAATAAAAAATTTAAAGCCATAATCTCATACTTTTTTCCTCAAAAAATATTTTAGTTTTAATGCTATTGAACTGGTATTTCATTTGATACTATTGAAATTGATTTCTTTAGCTGCTATAAAGTCATCTAATAGGGAATTATAGGCTAAAATCTCATTATTTATTCTCAGAAAATCATATTCGTTTTCATGAAATTCACGCACCGGAGTTCCATGGATAATGATCGGTTAAAGTGGAATATTTTTGTGTAAAATGTTGTCATTATAATCCATTTTTATTGCAAATTTAAACCACAAAATCGTTTATATTGTTATTATAATCGATTATTTTCGTAAGACACAGTCAATTAAAATACCTTATAATGAATAATAATCCGTTTAAATTCCCTTATAATTGATTATAACGGATTATAATTCTTAGATTTGTTTGCAAAATCATTTGCAAAACTTACAACATTTCTGCGTCACTCCCAATAAAAACCTACTCAAGTAAACCTCCACCCTCACTTTTCCCTCATCCGCGTTTGCCCAAGTCCCCTCCTCCGATTTCACTACGTTTATCCCTACGCCCACCCCCTTGTTCACTAAAGTTTACCCCTAAATCCGACCTTCCCAAGTTACTGTTTGCCTCACCCCTCCCCAGTTTTATCACCATTGAACGGGTACGACAGAGGGGGTTACTCATTGCGAACAACACCTGTTTACCCCTATTCTCCTGTTTAGCCCCCTCACTCAAGTTTTTTGTTCCAACCTTCCCCCCATTTTTTTTTACCCCGCCCACGTTAACGGACGGGGGATTACACTAAGATAGGGAAGGGGGTAAATCGAGGAGGGGTAAGCTAGGTGGGGGGAGGGGGCGGGGGGTTAACGGACGAGGTGTAAACTGAGGGGGGGAGGGTAAACTTGGGAAGGGGGTATTAACAAAAGGCAATGGAGTTTACGTTGTATAAAAAAGGAGAGAAAACTTAAATAAAAAAATTCTTATGTGAAAAGTAAAAACTTTTGGACGTAATAAGTAGCAACTGCGCGAAATAAGAAATGAGATAACTTTGAAAAAAAAAATTTCAAATATTTAATTTCTCAAAAAACACATTATCGTGTGCGGGTTGAACTGGTATTTGATTTCATACTCTTGATATTGATTTTTATAGATGCTATATAGTCATCTAAAAAGAAATTTCAAACCAAAATCTCATTCTCTGTTCTCAAAAAAATTGAATTAGTTTTCATGCTCTTGGACTGGTATTCGAGTATTTGTAACGAGCTTCAAATCTGCTCCAAGCGTGACCACTTGCTTGTTGAGGATAAACTAAAAGGGGGATATTCTCATGCGCAAAGGACAGAATGCGTGAAAAAATTCGTGGATGAAGAACCAAAAACAAATTTAGGGGAAAGTCAATTTTTGAAATTAATCAATTGCCATTCAATTAAGATGATTTAAATGAAGCAATATTTTGCATCTTTATTAATGAAACCCTTGAAATATAAAATTCGTCCCAATTCGGCGATGTTCAGTGACAATTTGAAAATTTAGCATATTTCTGCCGTTTTTGTAATTGGCCAATATCAATAGTAAGTCCCTGCAGTGGCGGATTTAGGGGGGGGGGGGGGGGGGGGGGGCGGTCTGGCGGACGTCAGCCCCCCTCAGGGATTCGATCACCTGCCGACCCAAAGGGTCCCCCCTTTGTACTATTTTGAGAATATCATTTTTGGCCAATGGACCCTACAAACTTTCTGAAGGCGCCTTTGGCGCCATTATATACTAATTCTAATGGCGGAGCGCGCACCGAAAAAAACGCAATTTTTTGCTCAAAATTTTCAAGAAAGTGCCTAAAAACACTTTTTTTGCGTGTTTTTCGAGATTTTGCTTGCGGTGCAGAAAATTTATACGAAATAAATTCTTCTGATAATTTGAGAGAGCTCAGAAAATTTGATCGACCTTAAAAAAATGTCGACAAAATTTTCGAAACTTTTTTGAAAGTCCGCCCCCCCCCCCTCCCGTTCCTCGAGAAAAGCCTAGATCCGCCCCTGAGTCCCTGGAAAGGTTTACTTTCTTTCAGATTTTCACGTTTTCTTTTCAAATTTTAGATCACTGAAATCTGATTGGCTGGTTTTTTTCCGCGCTTTCGCTCCTTCGCATATGAGAGATTCCAACAAACTAAACATGTCTGAACTTCGTTCTTCTAATTGATGAACTTGAAAATTGTAACTGCGCAAAGAACTCATCGTTATGTCAAGAGCTAGTTGAACAACACTTCAAGAACACGTGACTTTAAAACGACAAATGAGTTAATACCTTTTGAACAATCTAAGAAATGAAAATGAAAAATTGCGAGTACCTTCGTCTTAAAGTCCCGCTTAAACTAATTGTTGTCTTAACAGCTGTAGGCTTGCTTACCTTACCGCACACCTTCTGACAGGGTTATTTAATGATTAGCAAACAGCAAACCTCAAACAAACGTCGCCGAGTGAATTTTACTGAATAAAATATTTGTTTGCAATTGAAGTTTGGGATCTTCTATTAATAAACAAATGTACTCTAGTAAACTTTCTCTCTTGTTAATTTCGATCATTTTAAATTCAGGTTTGAAATTAAGTTTTTCGAAATATACTTATTTTTTCATTTTGCTGACCAATGGCAAAAAACTAATTTGCTCAAAAGGAAACAAATAACTGCTTGATTATTTATAAAAAAAAAACCCAACCTATTCAAGCTAGATTTGTAACCAATTTTTATTTCAGTTTCGAGTTATACTTCTTGGGCTTTCAAATGGATAACCATATTTTTAGGGAAGAATAAAAATTTAAAAATTTGTACAGAAAATTTTTCGTTTTTCGCAAAAGAAAATTTTGAACGAAGCAGGTATGCTAAAAATCATTTTAGAGTTTCTTGGTGAATTTCAAAATTGAGAGATCAAACGCTCAAACAGTTGGTACAATTTTTATCTGTTTTGAAATACTTAAGCGCATATCTGAGAAAATCAAGTCTAAAAATGAGATTTTAATGATTAAAAATGTAAATAACTTTTTTGAAAAATCGCCCGCAGCGCAAAAAAAAATGCTATCTACAATAATGATACTAAGTAAGTGAGTTGTAATCATTTTAGCGCAATTAGCGACTGGATCAGCCAGCAATAAATCCAAACAAGCTATCGGTAATCGTCCGAGTGTATTTTCATTGGATTTCGCCTTGCCTGGAAAGTATCACACCAAAGAAGCTCACTTCATTTATTGCGCCCAATTCAGGTAACAACTACAGAAGTTTGTTCTAGAAGTAGATTTTTCAAAAACTAGAAGGTAGATTTTGGCGCAATTGGAAAAGGATGTTGTCCAATTTTTTTACTGCAATTGTTTTCAGCCTGAATTTTCCGATCAACTGTTATAATATATTTTTTGTTCACAAAATTAGCGACAAATTGATCTAATTGCATTT